TTGCCTTTTGGGCAGGTTTTGTGAGGTTGTAAACTATGGTGGAAATGAGAATTCCTAATTTAAGTGTTCTGTTAGGGCAGAATTACTCTGAGAAGAATCTTCTCACTTGCTCTGCTGGTCCTGCAAAGCCACTTCTCTCCAAATGAAGAAATAAACCTGTTCAAGATACCCTGAGCACTTGGAAGGCTTGTTTCAGAATGATGAGGAGGGGTTGTGGGAGTTTCATTCACTAGTTCGTTACTCAAGTCTCTAGGGTGGTGTCTCCTCCCGTGCAAGCCAGTCACTTTATAGTCAGTTGTGTAAGTCACAAAGGACGGGAGGTTCATTCATTCATTCACTGGTTTGTTACTCAAGTCTCTAGGATGGTATCTCCTCCCGTGCAAACCAGTCACTTTTTAGTCAGTTGTGTAAGTCACAAAGGACTTCACTGTTTTGTAGTAGCTGCTTTTCCTGCTGCGAGCACCGCTCACACTGAGACTTGGAGCTACTGGGGGCATCTTCAGTGCACATTCTGACATCCGCTTTGCGTTCTTGTCTAGATAAGGTGCTATTTGGGTGTCAGAAAACTTGTTTGTGGGAGAACTAGAGTATCCCAAAGAGAAACAGGATCAGGCATCGTTCCCTCTAGTATACAGGGAGATTTTCCAGCCACATCTGTGCACCACTTTTAGCTAATATAATTCTCGAATTCTAATTTCTCTTTAGAAAGAGAGTTTTAAAGAAGCTACTGGGTGTCACACTATTATAAGCCATTTGGGGGCCATAAATTCAGTTTGGTATGCCAGTGAAGAGCTGTGATCTTTGGTGTTTAAGTGTTGTTTATAAGTCTAGAAGTACTTATTTAAATATTAATACTTCATTTAGATTCTTTTGAGCTCATTTCAGATTTTTTATGGCTCAAGCCTAATAGTGGGAGCACAGATAAGTGGAATTATAAACTTGTTACTTAATCTGCTTACGGAAAGATTCCTTGGAGTGAAGTATGGGATAAAGTAGGAATGTGAATGATAAATTGTTTCTGGAAGAGCATGTTTGGATGAGGTGGCTGAGCTCGTGTTAAGTTTGAACACTGATTTGGGGAAACTTTAGATAATTTATGTCATTATTAATAGACCGTGAGGAGACTGATCCAGCATTCGGGGGCAAGGACAAACTCTGGCAGCTGTGGAATCCCAGATGAGGCATTCTTTGGTTGCTGCTTTCCCAGAAACTTAGTTTGTGGTTCCAGCCTGGGCCACACACCGTGCCTAGCACACAGGAATAGCGATTAGGAGTCATCAAATATGCTTTTCCCGAGTCAGGCATTTTTTAAAACTTAACAAAGGAAAACCAGAAAGTGGCTCTGATGTCCAGGATTTTTCTTAAAACTCTTGGAAGAAAAGAAGTAGAAAGGGAAGTTCCTAGTGAGAATTGAAGTTCTATAATTGGCCTCTTCCATTTATTTACTTAACTGGGAGCATCTTCCTTCCATTCATCCTGCTGTAGTTATGATTATAAAATGGAATTCTGGGATTGGGGCAGGGTTGCGATGCTGTGTTTGTTAAAAAGATTAACCAGGCAGTTGCCAAAGGAAAGCTCTGAAACAGCCTTAACTGAAACCAAATTTGCATGAACCCCTGGAGCATGAGGACACTGTGATTTCCGTGTTTACAGCCTTCGCACCCCTCGAGGCAGCTCCAAAGCTGCGAATTAACAGCAGCGGGAAAAGAGTCCTGTTGCCTTGTTTGTGGGTCGGGACTTGTTGGCTTGCTTCTTTTTGCTTGGCTAAGAGGTGTGATGCCAGGTGAAAAAGTAGTGTCAGATAGGTCTGCTGTCCTGAAAAACACCGCTTTGGGTGTCCATACCAAGGAGCAGTCTGTTCTTCTTGCCCTCTATCATCCTTTGAGGCTTTGGTTTCCCTGAAGCTGTTGCTTCCCTTTTCCCTTTGGCGGGTGCACGATGGATTTTGCACTTTTCAACTTTTTCCTATTACAGGAAGTCTGGTAACTCTGTTGGAGTCAAAGCAGGGCGCCCCTCTTCTTTCACCTGTGTAAGGGCAGGAGCGCTCGCTGTTCGCCTCGCTCTTCCAGTCAGTAGTGTCTTGCCACAAGCAGACTGAGCAGCTCCTGTGCAGCACGAATCAGGTGGCAAGCGATGCGCTGCCGTCGAGGAGTTTGGGGTGGGATCAGTTTCCTTATGATTGCACTGCAATCCACTGTCAGTTAGTTAGTAGCAATTTAAAATGAAATCTTAGCCCAGTCTGGGTCTAAAGCAAGCACGATATTCCCGGTGGGATTTCTCAGCTCTGGAGAGGAACACCAAATATATGTTGGTTTTGAGGTCTCCAGAGCTGAAGAAGGAGAAAGGTTGGTTGGTTGAACTGTCAGCAATTGTGTCTCTTGGGTAAACCAACACGGTGTGTTGTTTTGTTGTCTGAGCTCCCGTGTGTGCATTCCGACTGAACACCAGCGCACACCAGGGTTTGTGTCAGGAACGGGAATACGTGTGTGCGGGAAGATGCAAGAGTGCGCTCCCGTAGGTCCTGGGCAGTCACTGGATGGACCGTGGAGCGTGCAGCGGAATAGAATTGGAGGTGTAAGTTCCGTCTCCTTCGCAGTACAGACCCAGCCGTTGGTCAGCAGAGACCATCACCCCAGACGAACACTGTGCTTGTTTAGAGAAGCCTGGCTTTTACCGTAGACATCAGTCAGTCGAGTACCAGAGAGAAACGAGAAGAACAAAAAAGCATATTCTTTAATTAATCCCCGTACCTGTTTGTTTCTAAGACAACTACCTGAAAATAGAGTAGAGGATTAGTTAGCCCAAGTCATTAATATGTATGTGCAGCCAGGCTTCCTCAGTCCTTTCTGTGGTGTGTCTCTAGCTGTTCCTTGTATTTTAATATGGGCAAGTATAGAACAAACTTACCAAGTTAAATGTTATTTAGACTGAGGTTGTATCAGCAGGGTGACAAAATGAGACTTTCAGAGTTTACAACTCCAAGTTATTTTGACTTGAAAAAACGCTCCATCTGCAGTCACGTGAGTGGGCATGCTCATAAAATTATGCTACTTTCTATTATTTCCATGCGGAATGTTTAAATGTTACAAATACATGTTGGGGCAGAGGAGCGTAACATCTGTTTTCCCAAGCGTGCTGTGAGGTCTGCAGTGTTGCAACTCTTAGGAGAGTAATCCTTGTATCCAGAAGTATTTTTGCTGCTTTACCTATATTACAGCATTGAAACTCTGTTAAGAGGAAAATAGGTCAAGTGCCAGAGCAACAGAAAATCCGGAGTTTGAGGAGTTTGATCTGTGCTGAGTAAGTTTACCTTCGCTGCGGTAAATTGCCAAGAAAGTATTTGGTACTTGCTTACTTTTGGGACAGATAGAGGGACTTCTCCAAAATACTTTTTCAGTTCACTGTGGCGAGCTCTCATTTTCACCTCCCTTGGCATGCGTGGTGTGGTGTTAAGGGGCCGTGTGTGAATGACATCAGGAGTTCACCAACACACTGAAAAATGGATTGGGTACAAGTCCCAAGAATGTCACTATTTTTAAACCACCGGGCCTGAAGTTAAAGAGCACTTGGTGTTGTATTTGCAAAGATACTGCTTGGGAGAATTCAAGCCTTGAAATAAAAATCAGCATGAAATGGAGTGAAGAAGCAATTTTTCTGCCTGCCAGGATTGCTGTATTGATCTGTCCGTGGTCTTTACTGGATGAAAAAGCAGGGAGTGTATCCTGCTGACAGCTGGATAGTCGGAAAGACCAGGCAGAGATGGAAAGGGCCCAGAGGATTTGTCCCTAACTTGACTCCTGTCAAACTGTCTCTCTGACAAGGATGTTTTTTCCTTTGGTTGTAAGCGCACAGCCCTCAAGGGGCTGAAGGCTTTCATCGTTGCTTGCTTTTGAAGGGGAAGTTGTTGGACTTGTGCCCAGTTAAGCTGCAAGTCGGGCGGGTTGAAATGCCGTGGAGGAAGGCCAGCGTGCACTTTAACCTGGCAATATTTGGCTTCCATTTGTCCCATCGTGATAAGGATGGGCAGTGCTTCCTTGTATGGTGAGCAGTGGCATTGGATACTTACAGACACCTTCTGCTCATTGTGAGAACCCTCTCGTCGGGAGAGCCGGGGTTTTTGGTTGGCAAAGAGATGCGAACAGAAACGGGAAGGAGGTTCCAAATCTGCACTTCTTTTTTTTGTTTGGAAGTTGAGTGTTCTCTAAACACCTTGTTGAATTTGGGTTTCAATTCTCTTTGTCGTCAGTAGAGAAGAATCCCTGACTGTCATTAGGACTGCTTGCACCGCTTCAGTTGTGTGATATCCCTGGGGTAGGCGGTTTAGTTATCCAATCAGGCCAAAAAGTTCCAGTTAGTGGAATTTCATTAATTTTTCTGCTATAGCTTGGGCTAATAGGCTGTGTCAGCTAAGAGATGTGCTTCGGCTTCATAGCAGTCGATACCTCTTTTACATATATAAACACTGATGACGACTCCCCTAGCAGTACTGCTTCTTTTTATACCTATACACACCCAAGTTTTGATACGCCCGGCAGTTTTTTACACAGCTCTGGAAGTTAGGGAGTGCTAGTCTGTAGCCTGTGTACCGCCGTTAGGTTTGCGTGGCCATCGTTCTTTTGTGCCTGTACCCACAGCCGGAGCTGAGCTCGAGTTCTTGACCCCAGATGCCGAGCGCGGGACCGGGCCCCTCTGCATGCGATGTGAAGCCTTTTGAAGGGTTTTCCTTGCTCCCGCTGCACGCGCTGAGCTCCCTTGTCGGCTGCCGTTCCGCTCAGCACTGTGTGCATCTGGGGTGGGGAAGGCTTTTGGAGAAATACATGTGTCCCTTCAGACGCATCTCTCCGTGGTTCGTACCTTTAACCGTGTCGTCTTTTAACGCAGTGGTGCTGCTGTAGGGATTTTTACTAGGTGTGGTATACGAATGTGCAGGAACATGCTTGTGTATCCGGTGGGCTGAACCGATACATTCTTGGTTTTCATTAGGTTTCTACGCTTGGAATGAGGAAAAGTTGGAAAACATTATATTTAAAAGGATTTCTAGCATATTAAATTGAAATAAGAAACACGGGGGAAAGGATAAGATCCTATTTTCCATTTTCACAAATAATTAAGTGTAGAATGAACATGAGTAACTCGCTGTTTAGCCAGTAAATTAACAAATGATACCGAAGGGCTCCCTCTATGGTTCCTCTTATAAAATTACAAGCAACTGTGTTCCCTAGTAAAAGGGTAAAGTTGGGGTTGCATATAATTGTTTTTTTACACATATATGTAACAGGAAAAGATGTTTTAAACGTGTTGCTGCCGTTTTAACTTTGAAGCATTGTCTGTACGTTACCCTTGAGTTAACGTTCGCGTGAGTATTCAGCCTGCTCAGAATACTGATTGCCTGAAGGACCGTTCTTTTGTGTTAACAGGAGCCTGTGTTCTGTTTCAGGATACTGCCGTATGGCTGTTTAGCCACTGGAGATCACTCTGGCCTTATTGAGGCTGTTTCTAGCTCAGAAACAATTGCTGACATTCAGTTAAATAGTAGCAACGTTGCTGCTGCTGCTGCCTTCAACAAAGATGCTCTCTTAAACTGGCTGAAGGAATACAATTTAGGGTAATTTCTATAGTTATTTATTTTCTCATCTGTAGCGTAAGCAACAAAATTCCCCTGAGTTTCTCTGTCCGCGCTGAGGAATGCATGGCTCTTCTGGCAGGTTTGTTACTCATTTTTCAAGTTTGTCAAATTCTGACTCAGATTCATGGTGCCCTTGGAATTCAAACAGCAATCCAGCTGGAATTCTGGCATTTGCAGCATTTTGACTGCATGTTGCAGAGGACGATGTACTAGATTTGGCAAAACAAACCAGCCCACAATAACTACCTGGGTCTCAACTCCTGATGGGCCTGTCAGAATACTTGCATTTGTCCTACTCTCCATAGCTATTTTTCACAGTATTTTCTTCCAAATAAGCATGGTTTTACAGCATCCTAATGGGCTTCTGGTTTAAGCAAGCGATAGTGCTGTTTGAGGTCAAGGCATGACATGAATTACCAGTCGTGTGCACTAACGTTCTTTGTCTTTGTGGTTACAGAGATGACTTGGATCGAGCCATTGAAGAATTTACTCTGTCTTGTGCTGGCTACTGTGTAGCTACTTACGTGCTGGGGATTGGTGACAGACACAGTGACAATATCATGGTCAGAAAAAACGGTCAGGTAAAAATCTCTTCCGTGGTCAGAACAATTACGGTTTCTCTGTTGGGCAGGAGTTACCTTGAGAACTTTTAATTTCTTTTGAGTCTCAGTAACATTAAATCCTGGCATTGTCAGGGCTGATGTCTGATTACTGAGAGCTGAAGGGACCTTCAGAGGGAGGAAGTGGCGTAAGTCTAGTGACCAGTGCCTGGTGAGCAAGCAGTTCTTGTGTCAAGTGAGGCAGGTCTGTGGAGCTTTGTCAGAACTTCCAGAGGGCCTGTTAATGGTTCACATCCGGGGAATAAAGATAGAGTATCTTGCAGAAGACCATCCTTGAAAAGACAGGAATTGCAGTTTTGAGCGGTGTAGGTTTCCTGAGGTTAGTCTCTACAGCCTGCCACGTCTGCAGAAGTTTTCAGGGTGGAACAGGGTGGCAGGATAACACTGTGACCGTAGGCCTCAAAACCTGGGTAAACTCCTAGAAATGCGTTTTCCTGTTCGTTACTTTCTATTTTAACTTGTCTGATTTGATTTAAATTACTCTGCCTATAAAACGAGCAAGGGTTATAAGAGTGAGAGTTTTATAGACATTTGCAGTATTCCTTTCAGTTTTTATTTAAAGCTGAAACCCTTAGAATCTGTCATTCCAAAATGGGAGAACTGTCACGGGTTCCTTGAGATGAACTTGATTTCTCCTAGTTTTGCTGCTGTCCTCAGGCAGAAGCCCTTGGGTGCGATGGTGTCGAGCCTCACGGGCTCATCGTTGGGCCCATTTTTCTGTCTGCTAGTGCCAGCAAGAAGTCTGTTGGCAGACATCGGGAGCTTAAACCTGAGACAGCCTTTTGCACACCGATTTGTAGCGGCGGGCACTCGTAAGAGCGTAGGTGTTATCGCTGACTTCACGCGAGTCTTGAAGTGCTTTAAATACTCCCGAGGGGTTGAAACCACGGGCTGAGGAGAGAAGCATTCTGAGTTAACTGCTCTTCATGCCACACCCTGTAGAGACACTAGAAAAGTGAAATATTTAAATATTTAAATTGAAAGTGGGGAGGTTTAGATTAGATATCAGGAAGAAGTTCGTCATGGAGAGGGTGGTGAGGCACTGGGACAGGTTGCCCAGAGATGTTGTGGATGCCCCATCCCTGGAAGTGTTCAAGGCCAGGCTGGATGAGGCTTGGAGCAACCTGGTCTAGTGGAAGGTGTCCCTCCCCATGGCAGGGGGGGTGGAACTGGGGGATCTTTAAGGTCCTTTCCAACCCAAACCATTCTGTGATTCTATATTACGCTGGAGAAATTAATTTTTATCCTGTGTTTCTTTTTTTTTTTCAGCTCTTTCATATAGATTTTGGGCATATTCTTGGAAACTTCAAGTCCAAGTTTGGAATTAAAAGGGAACGGGTACCTTTCATACTCACTTATGATTTCATTCATGTTATTCAGCAAGGAAAAACAGGGAACACTGAAAAATTTGGTCGGTGAGTATTATTTTGATCTCTTTCCAGAGAACAGTGGGTTGTTTTAAAGCTTTTGGCCTTTTGTACTGACGCTTTAAGGGCTGCTTGGGAGAGACCTGGGATATTTTTGTGGGAACGCAGTGGAGGTTTGGCAGACATCTCTGTCCTTTCTGTCGCTGTGTTGTTACGATACCTGCGTTAGACCTGATCTGGGTTTTTGGAAATCGTTATGTATGTTTGTCAGGGTGGAAGTTCTGATGTGTTGTCTTCATTGCATGTGCTTTGCGGTTGAACTGAAGGTTCCGCCAGTATTGTGAAGAGGCGTACTTGATTCTGCGGAAACATGGAAACCTATTTATTACACTCTTTGCACTGATGTTAACTGCAGGGCTGCCAGAACTAACCTCTGTCAAGGACATCCAGTATCTCAAGGTAAAGTACAACTCGCAGCTCAGCAGCACTGAGCCTTCTTCCAGTAGGCGAGTTTGGATTCCCAGGTAAATACATGTCACTTGTTTCCCACTTCTCTCAGGATTTGCACACAGAGCTCAAAGCTTTCTCTTTCAGCTCGACAGAACAAGGTCTGTAGTCAGTCCTCTTGCTCAGAGGAAGCGATGACTCTCCGTTCCTCTCGGGCGTTGCGCAGTGACTTGCGCGTCCCTGCATCTCAAACGTGGTTGTTTCAGCGGTGGCTTACGCCTTGGCTCGTGCACAGGCGTAGACCTGTAGAGGTGGAAGTTACTTGCTTAACGACCCTCCAGTGGTGTCTTTAAACCCAGAAAACACTACGGATGTATTGCTCAGTGAATAGCAGGTGAAAAAGCGTCAGAGCAGACAAAACCGGAATGGTTTGTGTTGAATGGTGAAGGAGGCCTCAATGTGGATTTCAAAATTGCTAACAGTACTTGTTCTCCTGTCATCTTAGGACTCCCTCGCCTTAGGGAAGAGTGAGGAGGAAGCACTAAAGCAGTTTAAGCAGAAGTTTGATGAGGCACTCCGGGAAAGTTGGACTACTAAAGTGAACTGGATGGCGCACACTGTGCGAAAAGATTACAGATCCTAGAAGATTTCTGCGTTTGCACTAAGCTGAATGTTACCTTGATAAGTGTTTTCACGGGGCATCTGTAGCGTGGACCAACAAAACTCATGTTACATAAGAAAGGAAACAGAACAACGAGAAATGGGCTGAAATAATTCCTCAGTCTTTTGCACTCTGCTTCTGAATGCTTGATTCCAAGACTGTCTCCACAAGTAGTGAACATCCTGGATAATCAGTTCCTGCTGACACGCTGAGAGCTACTAGGCATTTTTAAAAACTCTTTGGTACTTTATGGAGGTGTAAATATTTGGTTTTATACGTTAGGGTAATGTACATTTGTGGGAGGTTTGAAGGCCTCTGACAGAACTGTTCTTTGTTTAAAGTTGGGACTTGAAGAGTTCTTTTTTTATATATATCCTAATCTGGCTAAAAATGACCTTATTGTGTATATTTTTCATATGAACTCTGCCCTTCTGGCACAGATGCATTAATTCTACTGTAAATAGCAGCCACGGTATCACTGCACTGCGGGGAGCTGCTTCGTGTCTCGTACTGCTGCCCAAGGACGGGTGGATGTTTGGAAGATGGCAGGGGAACGCCTCGGAAAACGGTGCAGTGCCCGATGGTCGGGGTGGCACCGTTTTGTTCCTCTGGCACAACACACACAAGAAGCCCCTTGAGTAAGAGAAAGGCCAATTCCAAACAAGTCTGAGAATCCCGCCTTGGTAGTGTTTTCCCTTTCAGCCTCTGGGGCCTTGTTTCCATTCCTCAAGAGGCACATTGATTTCGGGTTCAAAAAAATACATTGAAATTTGTGTCTCCGAGTTGTCCGTGTAAATGCACCGAATCATTTTCAGTCCGTATACTACACGTGGTGATTTTTAGAGCACACGTACCAAAAATCCCAGATGTTTGCAAAATCAAGTGTTTGTGGCAAAAGATCATTCCATAAAACACCAATGAGAAGTCATTAATATTTTCTTTCTGTATTTATTAAAAGCTTGCTTGAAATTTGTGTCTCCGAGTTGTCCGTGTAAATGCACCGAATCATTTTCAGTCCGTATACTACACGTGGTGATTTTTAGAGCACACGTACCAAAAATCCCAGATGTTTGCAAAATCAAGTGTTTGTGGCAAAAGATCATTCCATAAAACACCAATGAGAAGTCATTAATATTTTCTTTCTGTATTTATTAAAAGCTTGCAGTAATGTCACTTTACCAAGATATATATGTTGAAGATGGTTGCTGAAGAAACTGGATTTGTTTTAATTTATTTAGTGAGGTACCAGGCTTTTAGGTGCTTAAATGGAGAGCAGATTTGTTACGTGCAATAGGGAACTGCTGGTTAAAAGGTGTAACATACTCTTTCTGAACATCAGCAAGGTGGACTTTAACTACTGCTTGTTCTCCAAGGAACACTGGTAGCTCTCAATTCTTGTTGACATTTGAAAGAGAATTAAACTTATATATTTACTTTTGGACTAAACAGTTGTTTTGCATAGAAATGTTGTTTTATGTAGGAATTTAATTAAAGACCGTTTTACTTTGTTGAGAGCGATCTATTAATTGTTGTTGTTGTTTTGGGGTTTTGTTGTTTCTCTTTAGGGTCAAGAACCTATCTGGACTGGGATAGCACTTTATTTGATTTTCTTGTCCTCACCCTTTGGGTTATTCTGTCTGAAAAGACCCCTGCTTCTAGGATATTGTGTAAGTAAGTGTAAAAGGGTAAAAAGAAACTACTTTGCAGGTGACAGCTCTGGAAAAAGTCATGTCATCCTCAGCTAATTCCCAGCATCCAGTTTTCCATAAGTAACCATTCCTGACATGTGTCTGTTGTATATGTTTGTTCGGTTTTAATTTCGATAGCATGATTACTTGATGGGTCTGCTCGGTTTGCCTTCTGTCATTTGGTTTGTGACAAATGGTGACAACTGCTGCTTCTGCACTCCTGCTTGTCCTGTGAAGGAGAGCGCTCCCATGGATTTGCCTCTCGCCAGTTGCTTCCTTTCCCTTTATGCTTGTGTCGGATTTATTGACAGTGGTGTGTTCAGTCATTCACGGTCGAGCGAATGCCTTTGACAGCGCCTGTTCATGTATTTAATATCATAGAGTCCAGTAATCCTATTTAATTTCCTAGAGCTATTGAAATTGGATAATTAGATAGTACAGGCTCTTAATAATTAGTGTGTCAGGCTATGATCGTAGCTTTATTCTTTAGGAAAGGTTTCAAGCCTAAATCTTTAAAGTATCTGGTCAGTATTTCTATTCTTACTCTTTCACAATATATTTTATTAACATAATTATGTGTCTGAGCTGGCTTTAAAATCTAAACCTGAAATCCTGCACTCACAGAATGCATTGCAGTGTTTGGCAAGGTAAAATAACTTGTGTGGCATAAGACTGCCGAGAGATGAGGGAGTAGGGGTGTCCCGACGGAAAGCAGGTTTTGGCAGGTGCCGCCGTACAGGCTGGGAACGCAGCATTGCTGTTGGACCTCTCGGTTTACGCGTGGCTGTTTGGGAGGGGTTATAGACAACTGTGCCTCGCTGTGGCTTGGTGCACGAGAGAGAAGCCGGACTAAGCCGAAGGTAGCGGTTTGTTGCCTGACCACAGCCCCACAGTGACCGCTACTCCAGGGCCACGCTGTTGTGTTTGGGGCACATCTGTCTGCCACTGACCGTTGGTGGGTGAAGTCTGGGCATTAAGGTCAGGAGTGAAATTGTCTCTGTATCTGGAGTATCTTTGTAAATCAGTCACTGTAAGCTCATAACCATAAAATCTCAAGTGATTTATTGGACATAGGAACTGCTTGTCTTTCATATTTTGGCAAGTCAGGTCAGAAAAATGGCTTTGTCTTCCCTTAGGAAGCTTGTTTCGATGGCGTGGGTGTGACAGCTTCCCCAGACACCTTCGGTGGGAGCAGCGTGCCTAACCTCGTACCCCCGTGGGGCACCCCCCGGGAGCACAGCCAGATGGCCGTTAGCTCCGGGGCTGCGGAGTCAGCAGCGCTGGATCTCCTGAGGTTCCCACGGGGACACTGGGGACTCTTTCGTATCAACCCGAGTGTGTATCAACCGGACGTGGTCTGGGGCGTAGGCGGCACCAAGCAGATCTCTGCAGCAGATTTCGGCAGCCAGTCTGGGGAAGGTGCGGCAGTTTTAACAACAGCTAACGCTGCTGAGGAGCTTGAGTACCGTGCTGCGAGTGCTCCCTCAGCGCGCAGGAAAGATCTCGTGGTTACTCTTCCCTGATGACTGATGAAGGAGAGGGTAAGTGTTTCTGCCGATGCTGACTGGGGAGCTGGTTTACCCACCTCATCTCACTGGCTGCTCTTCAGGGAGCGTAGCAGAAGAGCGTGGACCGTCGGAGAAGTGAGGAGGAGGGAAAGCTTTCCCGTCAGTGAGCTGGGATTGCAGACGGCTATTACTTGCCTGCCACTCCAGCCTAAAACCCCACACGGGGACTTCCTGCCTGTCCTCTAGCAAGCCACAAGGGAAAACCCTACCAGGAGTCAGATGCTGGTAGAACTGTGCTTGTAACGTCACCTCTGGAACACTTGGCTAAAAGCCAACTCAACTATGTACCTATCTTAACAGGTTTTACTGTGCTGCACTGTCAGATGTAAAGTAGTGCTGCTGTGATGAGCTCGTCCTTCCTCCTCCGTCTGTCACCCTGCTTTTCCTCAGGTGATTTTCTGGAGACGTGTCCCCTGGGATTGCCTGATGACCAGGGATGGGGAGGAAATACGTATGTATTAAGTAATGGCCTGGGTTATTCTTGGGATACCTGTGAAGGATCACAGGTGAAGAGCAGCAGTAATGGGGAAATGTAAAAGGTTTAATGCTGATTCGCCAGACATCGTTTGGCTTTCATGAAGCAAGTGAGCAGAGGTGACAAACACCATGGGAACCTGGTTTCTGAGGGGTTACAACCCTTGCAGCGCAAGGGGTAAGATCTGATCTCCGGCTGTAGAAGTCTGCGCTTGGGCGGGAAGCCTGGGTGCTCGCTGGGAGTGCCCAGAACCACCAAGCCTGGGCATAAGCGAGGAACCTGATAGTGCTTCATTCCTGGTGGTGAATCCTGCCTCAGGTTTTCTCCTACATGTCCGACCTGATGGGCTCTGCCCTGTGAGCGTTCTCTGGATGCGCAGTGGTGAGCTGACCAGCTGTACGACACAGGCGAAGCGGCTCGTTCTGGTTTCTGGAATTGTCCCTTCAGCTCCTCTGCGCACGGAGCATTGAGTGTGTGTTTGACACAGCCTGAAGGGAGCGCAGCAGTACTGCTCCGGGTGCTCTGGAGTCTGGGAACGTTGTATACGGGGCTCTGAATTCCTCCTGTTGAAACAGTTTTCTGTGGGTGGGCAGGGGAAACAACACAAGAATGACCGACATAGCTCAGTTAAAATACTCCCTAGGGATGGAAAAAAATCTGGATTCCAGTCCCCTTACCAAAAATTCATTGGAACAGCTCCAAGGGGGAGTGGGAAGGACAGAGAGAGTGAGTCCTTTTCCCTATAGACTAGTGGCTTGGGAACTTAGCAGGAAGAGTGATGAAACAGAGGTCCACACTTCCCAGACTGTCTTCTGTCTGCTTGGCTAAATAAAAGAACCCTTAATGGCTATGAGATGAATCTGTTTAACCCCTTCCCTACCAAGCAGCAAGGAATTCATCCTGCATGTAGAGTTGTGCCCGTGAGCACAGGAGGAAAGGCACATGCTGCTAGGCTTGGGGTGATCTGCTGCAGAGGCTACGTCCACCCTTCACCTGCATTGGTGAACTCCGTGGAGGGTAAAGAGTCCTGCGTGTGCCGGCACCTCAGTGCCACCCACACCGAGTGTTGGCTACTCGCCCTGCTGCTCTCCGATCGTCGCTGGGCAAGCCTTTCCATGCGCTGTGAAAGGAAGGGAGACGGACACCTCGAGGTGTGGGTCCCACTGGTACGCTTAAACTTTGAGTAAGTTTTATTTGGTGCTGTCCTACACAGGTCTAAAAGCCAAAGGAGGCTGGAATAACAACTTTGTAATCTCATATTAAGGGGAGGTGCTGGGTCATCGTTAGGAGTTGAAAGTCTGTAAAAAAATTCAGTAATTCTAGAAGGGAATTTGAATGTGATCTGCGATTTCTGTGGCCAGGATAGCCATTAGAAGCCCCTTTCCCCATCAAATTGCATACCCATGCTAGTTAATTTAAAAAATAAACCAGTTTAATATTCCAGACCACAAGCAGCGCTGAAGCACACCTAAGCTCTACAAATCGGTGTAATGCACCCAGTGGTTCTGCATTTAATACTCACTTTCTCTTTTTGCAGCTCAATGGGACAATCATGTTTCCTTGTGAGGAAAAAGAAAACTCACTGAAAACGTTTCTCTGTTCTTAATAGCTGAGGAATGTTTAGCTCTTACTCACAAATCTTTGTTTGCAGGTTTACGCTAGCTAAAGTAGTGAATGTGCATCTGCTACGTACAGTAAGTATGAAATACAGGATGGTTGTAACTGCTGACGCTGGGTACAGGTTGTGCAGAACCAAGATCCAGTCGGCCTGGGTGGATCCGAGCT